CAGGTGCCTGGAATCAAGGTACCTGTATAGCGCTGTGGAATTTGTTGTATTTTATAAATACATAGACTGCAAGACTGTATTGCTGTACTTGCATGCTTAGATGTGTACCTAGATTGGAGATTTCCTCATTATTTTCTTTCTGTGCTGTGTAAGGTGTGTGTTGTTTGCAAAAATGTCCCAAGCCATAAAAATTTTAATGTGTCTGAAGATGGCAGTCTTATGTCCACTGGCCACTTAAATTCACCCAGACCACTTCAGCTCAATGAAGTGGTCTGGGTGCCAGGTCCCTCTGGTTTTAACTCTTCACATGTAAACATAACCGTTTCAGAGAAACTATATTTACATTTGGGGTTAATCCAGCCTCTAGTGGCTGTCTTCCAGACAGCCACTAGAGGCGCATCTGCGACGGTGGAGGCGAATTTCGCATCCATCGCGCAGAGCGTCCATAGGAAAGCATTGAGAAATGCTTTCCTATGGACACTTTGAATGCCCACGCGGCACTTGCAGCGCATGCGCATTCGGCTTCAGTGACGTCGGACAAGGAGGAGAGGTCACCAGCGCCGAGGGAGCCCGGCGCTGGATTAGGGTAAGTAGTTGAAGGGGTTTTAACACCTTCAGCGCCACAGGAGGGGGACCCTGAGGGTGGGGGCACCCCCAGGGCACTATAGTGTCAGGAAAACCACTTTGTTTTCCTGACACTATAGTGATCCTTTAAGTTGGAGTGACATGAGCAGAAATAAGTTCACGTGAGTGAATAATTATATTACAGTTTGTGAACTGATTTAGAACCACTAATTATAAAAATATAAACCTATATTGTGTTAAGGTAAATTATAAGAATTTAAATAAAAAAAATATTTCTGGCTCATTTTATTATTAATTGGTCCAGAAGATTTTACTGCTGAAAACATTTGAAGTTGAAATCCTGGTACTGTTGGAGGATGGGAGAAGTACATTGGAGCCATTAATCATAAAAAAAAAAAAAAAAAATTGTACAAAGTTTTCTTTTTGAAAGCTGGCTAATATTAGCTCATAGTAGACCAATGAAACCTCATGTGGTTGCGCCAGCTTCCTCATTTGCTATAAAAGACAGTTTAAAAAGCGTATCAGAGATAAATTTGAGATTGTAAAGGTAACCTTTTGGTTGGGTCACCTTTTATCGTATGTCTGTCTCGTCGGCAATGACCAGATTCTCATTAGTGCGCTCGCAGAGCGTAGCAGAGATGTGCAGCCGTAGAAACGTGTGTTCTGCAAGAGGCTTTATATATATATATTTTTTTTCTCATTCTTTCTGTTGAAGCAGAGGTTGTTAGAACTTTAAGGAAATAAATCTTCAAGAAAATAGGAAAAGTTGTAATCTATCAAATATGTACTTCACGTAGCTTCGATAATTCGTAAATGCAATGTAAAGGTTGAAAAATAATGCTTTTTAAATCTCATGTATATAAGCTGGATACATTTAAATATAGTTGTTAGAATTATATATGTAATGCATAAGCTGAAAACCTACATTACTATGTCTGACCATGATTCTCATGGCTGGAGTGATCTGCTGTCAAGGAGATTGCTCTTTCAAATAGAAATGCTAGTTGTATTGGGACATTGATAGAGTAGATCTCCTGTGAATTAGTGTCTCGCTGTGTGAATGGAGTGTCACCAAGTAGGATCCAGACTTTTAGGCTAAAAGGACATTCAACTAGAGTAGATAACCATTTAAAGGTATATGACATATTTCACTCTCAACCTCTTCCCGGAGTTCGGGCATTCAGTGCCATCCGAACAGTATTAAAACCCATTGTCTGGAGGGACGGCATGGAACGTCCATCAGTTTTGGTGTGAGCAGGCTTAAATCCTAGCCTTTATTTATTTTCTTCAAAACTTGGACAATTTCCTGACGCCTTTAATCGGTTTCATTGGGGTATCCCCTGTAGTAGCTGCATTGTGGGCTTAGAAATTCTGAAATTTTAAGGGGACACTCTTACTTATGGCTGCAATACACGCTCAGGGCTCAAGTCTCATGCTACTAGCCAGGCCTTAAAAGATTCTTGACAAAACAAACCTGAATATTCCATGGCACATTAACCTGGGTTGAATTTCTATTTGCTAGTGGAGAGGGGAATTTCTGAACCCTGTACAAGTTATTTTACAGTCTAGGAAGAGAACATGATGGACTTATAGGCACAGCATATTATCAATTTGCAAATAGTTTTTGTCCTCTCCCTTCAGTTGTTATTGTTAATTTTATTATAATTATTTTTATATATATTTTGACAAAAGAAATACACATGCATACACATACTCCTTACACCAGTATGCTGAAGTTGTTATGGTACTGAGTGTTCCATTTAAAAATTTCTATTAAACTATTTTGATATTTTACTACTATTTTACTTTGTGCAAATTATTATGGAGGTTGGCTGCTGTACATAGATAAGCCTTTTCCATGAGATAGTTGTCAAGTGAGATCTGTTCATTTTCCTCCTCGGCTGTTAAAGGCTGCTTTGTACCACTAGATTCTAGATTGTCCAATAGTTAATGAACTACAGAACACATTCAGCTATCTCCTGCGGAATGGCTAGAGAAAAGACACTATTATAACAAAATAGCCAAGTGTCTCTGTTTTTGCCTCAGGCTTATGGTTATTAAATTCATATTTGACCTTTTATTTGAAAAATTGGACATAAGCAACAATTTAAGAAGTGGCCAATTTATCACTTTAATCAGATTGTTCAATTAAGTGTAATAGAAGCAATTTTTATCTGTGCTATAACTTTGTATTCATTTTCTTCCCGGATATTCAGTGTACGTTAGCCTGCCGTGAATTAGTGCTTCTGGCACCAACACACCATCTATGTGTGTTTTATGTCTTCTGGCGTTTTATATCTTGAATGTGTTTTGCACTATCACGGTGTTTTTGCAAATGCAGTATTCTGCGTTCAAACTCGAGTTCTATCGCATTGTTCTAAAACATGTTTTCTTGTTGGCTTCTGGACCAAAGTATGTGATGTCACAAGGAGTGCTTCTCTCATAACATTGTAGTTGATATATGTCAACTGAAAGTGCAGTACAGGTTTCTGTGAACAGTAGAGAACGGACTGTTTTCATAACTAAAAAGCGGATACCTGACTCTGAGGCTGTGCACAAAGCACTGTGAAATCTGCTAGGCAGCCATAGTGCAAGTAAACAGGCAGTTTAATAGATATGTGTGCAGTATTTTATATGTAAAATAGTGGGTCTTACTTTTGATCTATGCAAGGAGAGTTTGCCCTTTTGACTGCTGCAAAACTGGGTTAAATATATCCACAGTTCAGCCTCCATGTACCAGAATAAAAGGCTCCTGACTGGTCAAGCTTCATTCTGGTGTGGGTGAAGATCAAGGCTGATGATCTATCTGTGTTGTATATTAGTGATTACATTAATATATATATATATATATAATTTTTTTTTTTTTTATAAATAGTTGTTGCATCTTGACTGGAGTGTCCTGATGTATCTTTAAATGCATTGGTAGCACATTGTATTGTAAAATAGTAAATGGTAATAGACTATTTTGAAGGAATTGCTGTGGGCACATTCCCGTTAAATGCTTTCTATTTCCTACTGAATTGCTGATGATGCATTTCATTATATTACACACTAAATAATTTCCCCATTATAGTACACACTGTATGATTTACCCATTTGTGTGTATATGGGATTAGAGGGATGCAATATACTTTAGCATCTCATAACGTGACCTGCGCAGAGGTCTTAACTAACCTTTATTGAGAGTAACCATGTGCCAGAGCAATTTGGCAGGGTAAACCCCATGGTCTGTGTTTACTTTCAAATACTGTCTTTTATGTGCCTCAGTTTTAATTTTCGTTTTCCTACTAGTTCTTGTTTCTATACTGGGCTTCAATACTTATTCTTATACTATATGCCATATGCGGAATGAGCCTGTGTAGCTGACCTTCTGGTTAGTTGCTGTGGATCCACACTTACCTGACGTGCCAGTATAGAATACTTAAAGGGATACTATAGTCACCAGAACAACTACAGTTTTTTAGAGAAAAGGCAGTGTTTACACTCCCCCTAGGTGCACCTCCAAGTGGGTCATTCCTCAGATGGCTACTAGAGGGGCTTCCTGGGGTAGTGCTGCACAGTAGGCAGCACTGCCGTTCAGCGTCTCCACGCTCTGCATGGAGATGCTAATTTTTTTTTCCTCATAGAGATGTGTTGATTCAATGGATCTCTATGAGGAGGTGCTGATTGGCTAAAATTGCATTTGGCCCCACCCCATCCCGCTTCCTTGCAGATTTCAGCCAATCCAATGCTTTCCCTATGGGGGTGGTACGTGTTGCACCTTTTCTTGACATGTAACCAGATGTTTAAAACATTAACAAGATAATACATAGTATGCTAGTATGTGAACGTAAATGGGGGAGCAAGGTGTAAGCTCAGTCCAGCCTAACTTTCGCCACCGGTTCTTCCCTCCAACTTCAGCCAGTATCGGCTGCAGCTCATGGAGTGAACGGAACAATCTTTGTGACATCCCAAGAAGCTCTCTGGCCATCTCCGCTGCTCGACATATACCCAATCTCTGGAGGAAAGCTGTGGCTTTATCCGCAGAGGAAGTTGGTAGGTTTGGCCATCCTTGGTAGAGATCAGGGTACGTGAGGGACCCCACTTGTTGGCAACTCCCGACTCCCTCAAGGTCTGCGTCACCCGTTGAAGGCACCTTCTCCAATTTAAGGTTGAGCAACCGAGGTCCTGTAGAAAGTAAAGCTGCATTGCTTCGAAATGATATGGCGTGTTCTTGACTGGCTCCAGGACCACCATCTTGTATCTGAGCATAAGGAAGCGCACCAGGACGTCCCGGGAGGCCCCAGCCGGAACCTTGGTGGATTTGGCCAGGCGAAAGCATCCATCAATTTGAGTTCATTTTAGCTGAGTGTTGGGGCATCAGAGAGGCCAAGAGGCGTTGCAGGGAGTGCGGCGATTCTTGTTCGTTGATAGAATCAACCCTTTTGTTGAGATTTGTGCATCCTCACACATGGTCCATAGTGTCGTCGGACTTGCATGTCACTTTGTGCTGCTTGAAGTTGAACTATCTGCTCCGTGTTGCTCACTTGGTGTTGGGCCATGGTGGAGACCTTCTCCGCAGTCACCCTTACATCGGTAGTGACCTCGTTGAGATCTTCCTGGATGATGTCTCGGTCAGCTTTAAAGATGCGTGTATGTTCAGTTTTAGGGCTTTAATAGCGACCTTGCTGGCCGGGGCCGTTAGAACTGCCACCTGTGGTGTGACAGGCCCTCCGCCTATGGTATTTTATCCGGAGCATTGAGGATTTTATCCTCGGAGGAGGTATAAGGAGAGTCCGGCGGTGCTGCCCTTTTTGGCCTAGGCTGCGACTGCAGAAGATCGCTGATTCTCTGTGAGCAGTCACCCGCAAGGGTCTTGAGCTTTTTAGCTTTTTTTTTCCCATATCGTGGTGAGTTTGCTGGTTTGGTTGCTGACAAAATCAGGGTAAGTATTCGCCTTAGGGTTGGTAATTGCTGATGTATTTCATTTAAAATGGGAGCTTTGCAGACATGCGACTGCTCCCTTCCATATCCAAACCACTCCCTCTGCTATGTAACCTGTCGAAGTGATTTTTCTACTTTTACTTCTTTAAGTGCTTTAAGTATTACTACCTATAGTTCAGCCTTATTATTAAACAAAACAAAAACAGTTCAATCATATGCCACAACACAATATGCTTGTCAATGTTGTTGTAGCATCAAAAGCCTGTATGTTACTCTTTGCACTATGAAAATGATGGGGGGGAAGTGGGAAACAAACTTTTGAACAAAGGATTGGATGTGCAATGAATTATGGGAAATATAGTCAAATAGCAGGAGGGCCATACCTGGACATCCAAGTGTTCAAATAAATGTGATTATGCATGTTTACATTTTCTTTTGTTGATTTCCCTTTCAGTCTGTTTACTTAGATGACTTTACAGTGAACTCTAAAGTGATGGGAGCCTAAGGCTGCTTTAACTGGATTACTTTGATTGGCTTGTGCAGATTTGAACCATTAATCTTGTTGCATATATATATTTATTTGAATACACGGAAAGAGAGATCCTGAAAGCATGTTACTCACTTGTTGTACTTAGCTGGCCTATGGCAACCCTAAAGAAAAAAGCTCCAATAATTAATGTGGTTTCTACATCTTTCTGCTGCTGAAAACATGTGCGATTAGGAATATCCGATTTTTAATCCTTATGAAATACAGGATTAAATCAAATCAGAAGTCTACCTTCATGTAATACCAATTTTTATTTTTTTTGGAACAAGATATTAACACTAGAGTTTCAAAGAATGCAGTTAATGTAAAATGTACATTCTATACATTCAGTGGCGTCTCTAGGATTCAATTTTCGGGGGGGCACATGGAGGGCCAGTGACAAAAGTAGGGGGGCACATTTAACCCCGCCCTCGTCGCAGTTTGACCCCGCCCCTGTCACATGTTAAGCCACGCCCCCGACACAATGTTTTTTGTTTTTGTTTTTTTTTTTGTTTTTTTTTAATAATACCTGGTGGAGGATTCATTATTTTCCACCAGGGATTATTAAAAAAAACATTTGAAAAAAAATTTCCAAGGACATTTTGCAGCACAGCTATCAATTACTTTCTGGGTATAATATCCCTGGACAGTCAGTGCTCTCTGTATAATACAGGGTTGTGTGTATAATAAATTGG